TTTTTTACAGGAATATAAAGTATGATTTTTACCCACGTATGCCGTTGGTTTTTTTTTCCTTGATATCTAAAACTGTTTGAATTGCATGTGAACATGTTAAATGTAAAATTAAGTACCGAGTTACATAAAAAAACATTTCTTGTTTTTATTGAAAGCTCCATAGTTTCTCTGTAAAACTTGCTCGACTTCAAACTGTTATGAGACCCATAAATGTGTGCTGCATCAGGGTTACCACTGCATTTGTATTTAAAATAAAAAAATCAAACTTCACTCTGTTGAAACTATATGGGGAAGCAATTGTGCCTAAAAAAAGGCATCTTTGTATTTTATATCAGTTAAGGTTTGCGTGCAAAAAGGATATTATCGAGGGACACCCATATTTTGTAATATTTCTCTCGAAAACGAACTTGAAACTTTCTGCACGTGCTTTTTAGTTATAGTAATCACGCATCTACATCCGAGAAAAAATGTAATTCAAACTTTGGGTTGTACTTGTTCATTCACATACCCATGTTTTTTATTGCGAAATGGCAAAACTTTCGATTGAAAACTCCGTAAACTCCAAAGCGCAAAAATCACGCTATATATAGTACGTGGGAAAATCGCATACCTACAGCAAAATACGCGCAACGCGAGAGACATTAGCGACCCCGATTGCACTATACTGAATGCGCCGTGCGGTTTACCAATTACCCAATCGCCATCATTCAAATTGTCCCTCCGAGCCAAATAACACCGCTTAGCTCTGATACTACCGTTGCTGCAATTGATACCTCGGTAATCGGGCCAAAGCTCAGCTGATGTATACTTACGGAGAGGTACAACGTCGATTTGACTTTTTTTCTTTTTTCTCTCGAATAAGCATAAATCTTTACTCTTCTCGATCAAAGTTTCCATAAAATTTACATCACCTCATTTCCTGCAGCGGCTGTTGTTGCGCTTCAGGTGTATCCGCGAGCTTTTTATACATACTCGCGCCAAAAAAGGCAGCATCATCGGTGGTGTTTTTTTTTTTTTTTTTTTTTTTAGACGAGAAAAAACAAAGAAACCGAGCCTCGACAGCAGGTTTTTATTTCCACAGCGGCGGCGGCGGCGGTGGTAGCAAAAGCTCGCGGATTCCCGGCGCTTTCTAAAAATGTTTGCGCATCAGCCGAGCTTAAAAATAAAGCGTTAGCCGCGCGAAAAAAAAAGTGCAACCCAGCTGCGTATTGATGTATATCCCCTCGCAAGCTCCGCGCGCGTCCTTCTCCGAAACGATTATTTTTGCCCCGCGTGAGCTCCGACCCGCTATAAATACCCGCTTTTCCGTCCAGACGGACATCAATTTGTTTGCCCTTTTGCCAAAACAAATTTTTCAACCCCCCGCGCCTTCATTCTATTTTTTCCTTCCATTCGATCGTAAGTTACATTGGCTCTCGAGATAAAGGATCACGCGTGTTTTCTCTAATTGCAGGTCTGTATGATGTCTGGTAGCGCCGCTGAGGGTATGATCGGCAACGGCAGGACGATGCCCAACATCAAGCAAGAAATCGACAACCCGACGACCCCCGGCCAGAACTATCAGGTCTGTTCCCCAACCACGACATTGCAACAGCAAGAGGTACAACTATGACTATCTACACTGGCTTTCGCAACGAGAGATCGACCGCGCACCCATTACCCGTATCTCTCGGTGCTCACAGTTTTTTTTTTTTTTTTTTTTTTTCTTCCAATCCATTTATCGTAGTAATGCAAAATTTTCATCATCATCATCATCATCATCGCGGTACATATAAATAAAGGCTGCTTATCTCGGCGTGCGTTTGTTGCTCCCCTCTTTCATTTTCATTCCGGCGTCGTGTCGTTGCATAATATCCAGCGCCGCGTGTACGATGTACCGACAGATAGAGAGAGAGAGTAGTCCATCTGCAACATCCTACGTGCACGCGCTACTTCTTTTCCCTCCTCCTCTTCCATCTACTACCTCCTGTTACGTAAAAACAAGCTCGAGGAGATGAACGAGGCGCCTTATATGCTACTGTGATTTTCTGTACCGATCAAAGTCACGGCAAAAGCCATCGTCTCACATGGTTATCTCATCATTTAAGTATGAATTGATGAACATGAAAAAAAGAAAACATTAAATATCGGTATTGTTCCGCAGTCGTTGTGCAGCAAAATGGACATGCATGAGTACGGGGGCAGCGGAGGCAGTCCCGGCAGTCCAGAGATGCACCACTGTTCCTCGACGACGCAACCACTTGGCACACCCGAGGTAATATATTCGCTCATCCATACAATGAAATCGAGGCTTCAGCAATTTGTAGCTCGGGTCTTTGACGATGATCGGTAAAAAATCGGCTAATGAAATCGGCGCTTTGACGCTTGCAGGACGGGGTTAAGGAAGAGGACACGGGCCCAAGGAGAATGTGCCTGGTTTGCGGCGACACGGCGAGCGGCTTTCACTACGGGGTCGCCTCTTGCGAGGCTTGCAAGGCTTTCTTCAAGAGAACGATACAAGGTACAAATGTCCCCTCGAAAGCTCCACCCGATCAACAACTCGAACTTTTGCCGCTCCTCCAGATAGCACTGAACGACTTTTGCCTGTTTTACACTTCTGTGGTGAAAACGTAACTTGTCACCCGTTTGGATACAATAAACAAGCTCGATCGATAACTTGACACGATAAAGATACGTGATCAATGCTACTTTTTTCTTTTCATTTAATCTTCAAAATTCACCAATTGGTGCAATGTCATGTATTGTTTAAAATCAACTTAAAAAAAAAAAAAAAAAAAACCAGAGACACAAAAACAGGCAAAGTAAGCGCGCGCGTGTGAGTGTGAATTTTCGACTGTCAGTTCTATCTGGCGAAGAACTGGGAATTATAATGGTAAAGTAGCCAGCAACTTCACAGGCAACATCGAGTACACGTGCCCGGCCAACGGGGAGTGCGAGATCAACAAGCGGCGCAGAAAGGCCTGTCAGGCCTGCAGGTTCCAAAAGTGCCTCAGGCAGGGTATGCTCAAGGAGGGGGTGCGGCTCGACCGGGTCAGGGGCGGCAGGCAAAAGTACCGCAGGAGCACCGATCCCTACGTACCTGGCAAGACCATTACCCTCGAAGGTGAGAGTCTTACTTTATTTATTTATCGTTATTTTTTTGTTTAACTCAAACGCGTGCGATATTAAAAAGAAAAAACCACGAAAGCTAAGACTTTTAAAATTGTCCTTTCAATTTTATTTCGTTTATTTTAAATGATAACATAAAGTTGGGTAACTTAATGGTCAAAGCCACAGAGACGACGTTGTGACCCATACTTTGACAATCGTCGCTATGAAACATTCGAACGTTACCAAAAGCTTCAAAAGCCAAACAACCGAACAGAGAGACGAGAGCAAAATATATACCTACACATTTCTCGTTCGGATTAGCGATTTATGATAGTGGGATTAAGTTTTGTCGTTTGTTTATTATTTTTATTTATTTATTTTTTTTTTTTTTTGCTTACTTCAATGTTTCAAGCTAACGTAGGATCGTCAGGCTACGCGGAAGCAACGAGTAAGTGAGCTTTCGTTCAAACGTTCAATCATTCAGAGCTTTATTGTAACGTAGCTTTAAAACACGACTGCTCCACGACAAAGGGAGCTTTACATTTTCATCAGAGCAAAACGTTGTAACGAATAGCTTATTTTTTGGTTTAACCAAATTTTCATTTTCAAATGAGCCTCAAATTCGGGTATTTTGTATTACGGCAGAAATTTTTGTCTTTGTCCTAAAACGCTGCGGTTTCTTCAATTGACTACAAATAGCGAAACAAAATCAGTCACGTCTACAATTAACTTTTTTTTTGCTCTGGTGATAAATGTGTCGGTCGTGCCTTCATATATTTTTTTTTTTATTATTAATTTTCGTAGCAATTATAAGGGTACATGTTTGTATGGTGATGGTTAAGTAATGTTAGTACCACTAGATATACTCACATTATAATATGCTGTAGCTGCATCAAGTGTAGTAACTCGATTTGGGTGTAGTTAGTTGGTTGAAAAATCCCCAAAGTAGTCTCTATAGTGACCTTTTTTTTAAATATTCAAAATACAAAGTAATAATGGTTCTCATTATTTAGTTGGTAAAACAGTTGGTCACAAGACGTAAAAATATCTTATTACAATGCCTTCTTTGCGTAGCACGTGTAAAACGCATGCGGACCACTAGTGTGTCCAATTTCAGCGAAAAACCATAACATCTTTTTTTTTTCATTTGCCCACAAAATCCATACTCTGTGCAAGAAACATAATTAGACAAAAAAAAAAAAAAAAAAAATTATCTCGATTCCCAGACAACAAGATGGTGGAAGCGTTGGTTGCCTGCGAGCCGGACATCCTACAGGTGTCCACATCATCCCACAGCCTGGACACCGAGCAGCGAGTGCTCAGCCAGCTGTCGGACCTCTACGACCGCGAACTCGTCGGGATCATCGGTAAATATCAATTTTCATTTTTTTACATGGCAGCTTTATATATACATTCACCCAACACCAGGACAAAGTCGAATGTCAACTAAACATTCGTTTTTTTCCCCCCTTTAAATTTTTTCAGGCTGGGCGAAACAGATACCCGGCTTCAGCAGCCTACCGCTCAACGACCAGATGCGACTGCTGCAGAGCACGTGGGCCGAGATCTTGACCTTCGGCCTCGCCTGGAGAAGCATACCCAACAACGGCAAGCTCAGGTTCGCCCAGGACCTTACGCTCGACGAGAGGCTAGCTCGCGAGTGCCACTGCCTGGAACTGTACACACACGTAAGCAACACCCCCCCCCCCAGCTCTTATTTCCGACTCCAAACTAATGACTGTTTGGTTGTACAGTGCATGCAAATCGTGGAGAGGCTGCAGCGACTGGGTCTAGCGCGCGAGGAGTTCTACATGCTGAAGGCCCTCGTGTTGACGAACAGCGACGCGAAGCTGGACGAGCCGCACGCCCTGCACCGCTTCCGGGACAGTATCCTCGGCTCGTTGTCGGATTGCGTGAGCGCGGTGAGGCCGGGCCAGGCGCTGAGGGCCACCCAAAACATGTTCCTAGTGCTGCCGGGGCTACGCCAGGCCGACGGTATCGTGCGCAAGTTCTGGTCGGGGGTCTACCGCACCGGCAAGGTGCCCATGAACAAGCTCCTCGTCGAGATGCTCGAGGCCGCCAGTTACCGATGAGGGGCACCACGGCTCTTCCGATTCGAACGACTGAGAGCTGCGTCCGTGCTGCTGGTGGTGGTGGTGGTGATGATAGTGGTGGTTGGAGGTGAGCTTGGACGCTGTTGCGAGGGATGTGGTATGCGAGATTCGCGCTTAGCTCATACGACGCATACCGCGGGGGAGCAAGATGCCTTGAATAATGCGAAAACGAGTCTTTCTTCGATTGTTGGATCGCGTGATCGTGGGGGGGGGGGGGGTTTAGTAAGTGCGACGGCTTGGTCCGTAAATTTGTTGCTTTATTTATTTTTTTTTCTTTTTTTTTTTCTTTTTCATTTTTCGTCTTCGTGAAAATGAATCGCGTAGTAGATAAAGCGTTGGAAAAGAGAGGTGAATCAAAACTCAGTGAGATGATGTACAAGTCGAAGGTGAGTTTAAGGAGAAAAATAATAATAATAACAATTTTAATTATCATACTATAATGTTAGCGATGTACGAGGGTTATTGTTTGCCCGTGCCGTGAGATGAATGAAAGGATAGATTTAGTTATTTAGATGTAAACAAAGTACGCTTCGAATGAGAGGAATAAACAAATCGATTGATTAATCAATGAAAAAAAAAAAAAAAAAAAAAAGTGCGATGTCCGTCTAAAATCAACTTGGTCCAGAACTATAGTGCAATTACAATATAATAATAACAATAACACGAGAGAGCAGAGAGCAAAATTAGATACCATACGAGCAAGGGATTTTTCGTTATCGTTACAAGACCCTCGGTTCCTCTAGTGATACATTTTCATTGGCACAACCAAGACGCGTTTGTTACTTGTGACAGCTACAATAAATATGCGTAGGGATACCAACGTCGTTAAAAGAGATCACGAGTATATAGCTGGCATGGCTTGTCACCACCTTGGGCACTCTTTCACGTGTTTAACAAACATTATTTAACTTAAAAAGTTGTTTTTATTCATCGAATTTTCCTATTTATATTTACATCTAGTAATGAAGGTAGATTTATATTAATTATTTTGCAATGGTACAACAGGTAAACGCTAACTTTAAGTAACTAGGCACTATGCTGATTCGTTAACAAGCAAGCCACACGTATGTTTACAAATGAAATAGCGGCCATATGCGTTAATCAAAGATATACGAGTAAGTTTTATGTAGCTGAGCTCAAATGTGATATTTTTTTAAGTGATTAAGTCATCTTACTGGTCGAATCAGTGTGGTGTCTAGTAGCTGTGAACCACTCTTGTCTCGAATTTTTTCGCACTAATATAATCGTTTTGCATCTAATGTAATAATATAAAATCCAATTAACATTAAACTTAGAGTTACAATAATTATCAACAATTATCCTAATAAGCTTTAGACATCACGTTTGGCACAAGTTCCTTGTAATAAGCATCAATGAAACAGTTTTTATTTTAGTGTTTCAGTGCATCCACTCTCAATAAGCTGTTAACAAAGTAATTAAGAAAATATTAAATAATAAGAACGTTACGCCTCGAGTGCCCAAGTTCGTGCAAGAAACCAGCATAGTTACACATTTACCATTGTGAAAAGAAAAATAAACGATGCGATTATTTTTACACCCAGAACAGTCTGTAAAATAGACCATTTACTCAGATTTTTAGCTCTTACCCTATTTTTCTATGAAAGTAATGGTAATTATACGTACTTTACATTATTATAAATTATTGCTCAGCACACGGAGCGCGCGTCAGAAAATATCTTAACTTTAGCACTTTGCATTGTACGAAATAAACATAAAATTTACTACACAATTTATAAAAAAAAAAAAAAAATAAAAAAATAAAAAAATAAGTTAAAAAAACTCAAGCACACATCTCGAGCCAAAATATCAGCGAGGTGTGATGGTCAAAGTAAAATAGCTGTCAAGCCACGGCGAATTTTACTGCGCTTTAGGATAGTCGTCAAGCAGAATTCTAAGGGTTGTCCGTTATAACTTTGTAGGTACGTAGTTTGAGCGTAAAAAATATCTTCATAGCTTCATAGCTGCATCGTATTAATTGTCTACCTTAATTAATTTTCGTAACTACCACAACACGAAAGATATCCTTTACCTTTACCATTACCTAGCATTGATTCATTGTTACACTGTTTTCCTCTTGAAAGCTATTGAGGAATTATTCTATTGAACTGTGATATAAGCGACGCGCGTGTGCGCAAAAATGTAACTACAACACGTCCCTCTCCAAAACATCTTTTTTCCATCATCTTGCAACATTTTGCCGAGACCCACGTTAGCAATGCCTTTTTTCTTTTGATTTTTCCGTGTAAAGTGACAAATATGTCATTTTTTTCCCCCTACATAAAAGCGTTCTCTCTCCTATCGATCGATTCGCTTGATTGATCCTTGTTTAGTCCTTAAAGACTCTAACGTGATAGTTATTTGTTTAAGTCGTCGATTAAGTACAACCGAGTAATTTTTCTAATACTATTCTTTAAACATCATTGGCTTGTATTTATACGCAAGTATGTGAACGATTGCCAGATGCATATGTACATCACTTGAATTTGTTATGTAATATTACTGTTACGTGATTAAAAATACAGGTGTTTATAGCTGAGAAAGAAAAAAACACTCCTAGAACGTTTTGAATTTGTTTTTTTTTTTTTTTTCTTAATTTACGTACTCACAACGAGCAACGGAGTTATTCTAAATTTATTATTTTTTTTTTTTTGCATAATTTGTTGTTTTTATCGATTGTGTTTTAAAAGAGTACCACGAATAAGAATAATAAAGTTGATTTATATTTACTCATAAACATTTGTACTGTATGTTTTCTTTTCAATCGTAATGGTCTGTAATCACCAAATCTTTTAGTCCGAAAGCCAACTCAAATGACGAAAATGTAAATTTTCATTTATTTTTAATGCAATTTTAATTCCACTTTTACAATGATTTTTTAAAGTAGTTTTTTCCCCACCTTTGTCGAATTGGCAAGATTAAAAGATTTGACTGTTTTTTTTTAGATCCACGTGATTTGTAGTTTTTTTTCGATTTCTCATGCAGTGCATCATTGCTGTTATTAAAATGAGCAAGGTTTACGTAGCTTTTTTGATAACCCTTCACATTTCTAAGCAATCGAAACTTTCGAGAGAAACACTATTATTTTATTCGCTAGCGAAATTCAGATTTTTACATCGCAAATAACATGAGAAATTCTGAGTTGCGCTAGTCTTTAGTGTTTAAAAAACCAGACTTTTCCATCCTTATATCCACTGCGAAATTTTTTTTTATTGTGGGTATAATGCGAAGAAGCGCAGATTCGCCGTGGTAGTAGATTTTTTAAGCATCAGGGTATGCATCCAAACGCGAAACAAAAAAAAACAAATAATAAATTAAAATTAAATTGTACGCTTTGAAGCGTCTAATAAGAATAATAAGAAAAAGGAAAAAAAAAATTGAATAACTTAAGCGTGAATATTTATGATAATTATTATTACAATATAATGATAACTGTACCATGAAAATAAGTCAGCTTTTATGCAAAGAGATGGATATTACCTATGTGTGTTAACAAAGATAAAACATAATAATACTAATTACCTATTACAGCGAACGTGTGTGAAACAAATTGAAAAAAACTCCAGTAGTATATAGTTTTTCCATTGGTTGTACTTTTGATTTTCTTTCACTCGCAGCTCCATTTTTTACAATACCAGATACCATATTATGTTTAAGTTTTCAATGTCTCGTAGGAGGCAGGCATTTTAAGGAGATATTTTAGTTTGTAAATTTTTTACCGATTTCTATTGGAGATTTTTCAAAAAGGCATCGAGTGCGTGGTTTTTACGAAGTTTTTTCGTCAATCTGCATTATAAGGAAAGAGCATCAAGTTATTGTAAAGAAAAAATGTTCCTAAATGGCGCACGTAATTTATTTTTTTACCATTTAGTTGAAAAAAGAAAAAAAAAATGTAAAACAAATTTTTGTTGTCTTTTTTAAGAAACGGCGAGCATATTATGGTAAGGCTTGTTGATTCGCTTAGGTTATATTGATAATGAGAATAAAAAAAAAAAAAATTTTCATCATACTTATTTAATTATTTTATTGGAATTACCTAGATGCAGCCTGAGAAACCAATATACAAACAAAGAAGCGTAAAATAAAGTTAAGCGACTCAAAATGAGTTAGGGATGTATCGAAATCAAAAATAGCTCGTCTATCGTGTAAATCTTTTTTGCATCGCGTTTTACATCGCGGGTCGTCAGTCTGTATTTTTTGTATTTTTCTCGACCGCAATGATAAAAGCAGCGTTTTACAAGAGCCCGAGTCGTACCCCGTCGATGTAAACAAAATGCCAAAGGATAGGAAAAACTTTTCTTTTTTTTTTATCGCAAGTATGAAAATATATGTACGTATAGTTACTTTGTAATTACATCCTAGCAGACCGATGTATGATTTTTTATATGAATATGAAAAATTTAAGTACGAATAAAAAAAAAATACCTGTAATACATGAATAAATAATAAGAATACACAAAAAAGTCAACAGAATAGTACTGTGTTGTTAATAAGAAGAAGAGGAAGAAAAAAAAAAGAAGCGAGGCATCACTATTACTTGTGTAAGTTAAAAATTAAAGAATATTATCAATACAAGCTTGTGCACCTCAAAACATTTCGCATACACGCGCGTATCGAAGAGAAAAAAGAGTAACATAATATCGAGAAAGACGTTGTATTTATATACGAGGCAGCACTTTATTATTGCGAGATCATATATACCATACACAAATAAATCTTGGATCAATGTTCTTTTGATATCTGATTATTTTACAATCATGTCCTCTGATCACGAGATGAATATTTTTGTAGATCAACCATTGAAATTACAATAAAAAAAAAACCAATATCCATTGTTTATTTCAACAAATATGGAATTCTTCATGATTTTTCGATCATCTCAGTGCAAGAACGTTTCGACTATGCTTGTTCCAAAAAAAAAACAAAAAACAAATTATCCATCATTTATAATTTTCTGAAAAAAAAGCTATTCGTTCGAAGACTTTGTACCGCTATTATTCTCCCGATCCACTTGAGCCGTGACCATCCAAATGATCCTTCATTCCCTCCCTATGGCGCTATGTTCACTCCAAGAATCCCACAAGCGCCGTTTGCCCGCAATAAAAAGAACCTCAGCCACACACAGTTACCTACAAAAATTAAGAACAAGACTGCACCCCCAACAACTTGCTGTCTCTATGACGACATCGTACTTGATAATCGATGACGCCTACCTCGATCCGCAATTCGTAGGTATACCTTCCCTGGGGCTATACTGCCAGTACGGTAGAGTATCGCGGAGCTTCGATTGAGTTAATACAAGTAGCGTGTAACCACAGCCGAACTTATTTGCTTGACGAGTAATAATACCTCTCGTACAATAGCAAAAGGGATTTTATTTTATTTGGTTGTATATTTTCGAGATCATATTTGTGAAGCGTGTGTTGCGAGACGCTGTGGATTTTGATGGACGCAGGATCAGGTTATTGGAACAGATGGGATCGGTGACACGGATGGCTCTGGACGATAAGATTGGTATATAGGTAATATTGCGCAAAAGTTTGCAAGGTGTTACCAACGACAACCACGCTGGGCAGAATTTTTTGCTGTAAGGTATCTACATTACATTAACGAGTTTTAATTTATATCTACGCTTTGTATCGAAACCCTTTTTTGTGGATGGTGTGTTGCTGATTTTCAGTAAACCGCCAATACTAAAAATACCATGTGTAGTAACAGTGGATTTGACGTTTCATCAGTGAAATGCCGTGTAACGTATAGAGAGGTTTTATTAAACGATCCCTCTGTTAAATAACTTTCATACGATCACTTATAGTACCGATACCTTAATTTTTTTCAAAAACACTGCACCTTTTTTATCGATTTTCGTATCCAGCTTAAAAAATATATTCTTTTTTTTTACAAACAAATTATCCTTCATTATCCGAAATTTGGTACAGATTTAGTTATTAGATGGTGGTCGAGAGAAAGCAGGTGTACTCTAATGTTCGAAAAATAAAAAGATTCAGTTTGTAAATAATCGTCAGTGAACTAAATATCAATGAAATCTACAGGACCGAAAACCACCGGGTTGCTGGCTTTTTAAAAAAAAATCGCGTGAGCGGAAAAAAAACTAGAAATCCTGTCGAAAACTGCTGTGAAAAACTTATGCATATGTGATTACACGCGTGTGCGCTTGCAAGTAGCGAAAAATAGTCAGCGACTCGTGCAAGTATAATAAACGTCTATAGAGTCCATTGGGTCTCCACTGACAATTTCGACATGATTTTCGACCTCATAATTGGTCCGACAGAGTTACACTCCATCTTTGAATAAATAAACCTTTTTCGTTTGTAGGCACACGTAACGCTTGCGCGAGCCGAGGCGGGAGTAATCCGCGTGATTTCAGTTTTTTCACGGACACACGCGGGATCATCGTTTTCTACGCCAGTGTCCCTCTTTTTTTCGTAGTTTTATGACCGATAAAACTGACGGTGGAGAAAAGAGAGGCGAAAAATCTGATTCAAAGGATTTTTACGTCGCGAGCCCATTCATTTTTCAATAGTCTGCTGAATCTATGGGTCTGTAATTTGGCCGGGAGAGACGATCCTCTATTTTTTTTTTTTTTTTGTGAATAGTGGCGTGGATCGAGTCGTTTTTTTCCCCTGGTATTTTTTTAATGCAGTCCCAGCATTCGTGCAAACGACATGATTGACGTGTGGGGACAACAATACTCCCCGACTCCGGTCAGGAAATCTTTTTCATTAAATATGGTGAAAAAAAAAAAAAAAAAAAATTATCACGGAAACTGTAAAAGCTTTTCAAATCACCAGTCAACACGAATAACTTTACTTCACTTTATTTATTTTAATTGTCATCAATTACAAGTTTGATCATTAACTTGATTGTCGGTCTGAGGAGGGTTGGAAATTTTTCGTACTTCAGATGCACATATTTTAAGTGAAAAATATTCATTGTCTTAAAAATTGTATCGAGTTTTATTTGCTACAATTAAAAGACAAAAGGAAGTGGTCGATATTTATATATATATAATAAAAAATAATAAAATTTATGTATGTAAAAAAATGAGTTGAAACAATTTAAACCAAGCTCCAACACTTTGAAAACTCGACATAACTTTTCAGCCCTGCTTTTAATTCAACTTCTCCGTGATAGCAAGACGCAAGGAAACGAGGGAAGGAATGAAGGGATAAATAAAAATAAAAAATCAAATGGTCGCTTTACAGTGACTGGGGCAATATTTGCATCCTCGCAGTCTCAGATAGAGCCACCTCCGTGGGAATTCGCCGTTTCCCCCAAAAGGAGAGGAGAGACGCGCCGAGAATAGGAGAAAGGAAGGAGAGCAGAGGTAACGCCAGTGGAATCCTAGTGGATCGCAATTGAATTAACGTCTTTATAACTCGAATCGGGCCACTCTTGTATTTTTTTCTTTCTTTTTTTTTAAACAATAAAAATTGACGATCGAAAAGGAAAAATTTTTCTAAAAGCATACCTTCATCGTTTACTCGAGCATTATAATAATAAAAAAGAAAAAAAAAAAACTTCAAAGTTTTATGCACATTTCTCTGGCATGGAAGGGTATTTACATGCAAATAGGCCTCGTGAGAAACAATCAATTCGGCATGCACATCTAGAGACGACAAATTAACAATGCACCTGTAACATTCATCTCACGTGTGTTACATGTATCTTGAGAAAACACAAATAGCGCTGGAATTAAAATTTCATTGCGTTTACAGAATTCAGTGAGTCACACGATACCGTGAGTTCAAAAATAAAATACCAGCCCACAGTAGTGCCATCACCGCTCGTGACTGCTGTGATTGGTACATCTGTAAAAACAGAAGCGAATATTCCGTCATCGGTTGCAAGTATTGGCCATGTCGCCGAGGTCAGCGACCGTTTTTGCAGCTTTTTTGATTCTGACATTACTTCTCGATGTCTCATCCACAGGTACAGGTAAGCCATGACAATTGTCCGAGTTAACGATTTACCTGAATTCGAGAGAAAATTTAAGAAATACCTCGATCTATCGGCAGAAAGCATCTGTAACCCGCGAAGCTGCGCAGCGCTGGACTTGACGTTGCTCAAGGCGTGCGTGGGTAGCTCGAATGTAACTTGGAGAAACGAGTCACTAGCCATCGAGACCATTCCCTTCGGTACACTCGAGTCCGACTGGACGAGGCTACTGTTGCTCCTTAAGGATCACCAGCCCAAGGATACTCTGCTGCGCGATTATCTTCTCAGGCTCTCACGGTTGATGCTCATCGCTTACTTTGATACCGATCTTACCGATACTTGGGACCCACGGAGTTCGACTCACGAGTACGTTTGTCTACTCATTCATCGCTATCGACAACCCCTACATAAAATCCTATTTGACACTGGATTTTACCAATTTTACAAAAACAGTCATAATTCTTGCATATCCGTACGATTAGTTACCCTTTCAGCGAATTACGTTCTAATTTTTTTTTCCAATTGGAGCATCCAACGTGAACTAGCGACCTTTTTTTACAGGCTTGTATCTCATCGCAATTGAGTATGAATAAAGCCTTATTGATTAGTAATTTTGGGACTATTAACTCTAACTACATGACGAATTTTCGAAATGCACGTGCTTTTGGGGAATCGACAAATTCGCATTGCGTGCGATACGTAAATACTTCGATAATTTTCAAGTTTTCATGTAAAATATTTTCATTTTCCCGGAAAATTGCACCGTAACAACTACACCGTAAAACTCAATTACTCGCTTGAATTGTCACCTGATAATTTAAATTGAATTTCATCAGGTGCACTCATGAGAAGAAATAATTTCTGTCCCTCCCACGTTTAATTAAACTCGTGCGGAATTTGATTTTCCCTCTCTTGCACATGCAGGCTCCAAGTATGAATACACGCGCCGAGTTACTAATTAGTTGTAAAATTAGTTTTATTTTAAATTAATTCAGCTTTATCGTTCCGACAAGATTTTTTTTTGTTTTCAAAAATTTTCAGTGCTTTGCGCAACAAGTGCGGACAAAATTACATTTTTCCTGACTTTCTGGGAAACTCACAATCATCCGAGTCTCAGTTACCGAGCATTGTTTTGAAAATTCCCGTCTCACACGGAGAGAAGTGAGAAACAATGTATCCACCTGAACTTATTTCGGCATTTTTTGCCAACAAACAATGGCGTACCCAAAGTTAATAGATTAAAAATTGTTTTTTTTCACCAATCCACACTCCGTTGCACACACCCAACAAGATTCACTCGGAGTAAACCGACCCATGACGGCACCGTTAAATTTCCAGACCAAACGAGGCCGAGTCCAGGACAATCCCCGCGCCGGGATCCCAAGACCACCGGACGAGCGAAGCAACACTGGGCCCAACAGCGCGGAAGGAAATCACCGGTTTACCGAGTGATCCGAGCGACATCGGCCACGACAATGCGACAGAGTCGAGCAGCGGAAGCACCGGCCAGGACTCGAAGACGACGGCTAACGAGACGAGCGGAAGCGACGGTCCACCATCACCGGGGAGCGATCAAAGGGACAATATCCAGTCGGACGGGGCAGCCATCAGCCCTTCCCCCGACTCGTCCGAGTTTTTCGACTCACCGAGCACCGAGAATCCCTTTGGGGAGGCAAACGCCTCGGGGGACAACAGTGGAGCGGGGCGCGAGGTAAACACCGACGACCCCCTGAATTCGACCAGGAGCGCCGAGGAGCTGTTCTTCGGCGAGTCCAACGAGACGAGTGTCGCGGGTCAGGTGGCCTCTCCCCTGTCGACCTCCAGTGATCCTGTGGACTCGAGCCCCGAGGACTTAACCGCGGGAACTTTGGCTCCGCTGATGTTCGAAGGGACGCCGGTGGGGGTGATTGGTGGTGGAAACGATACGGCGCCGAATATGGCAGGGGAAGGGGACAAGGTGCCGAGGACGGAGCTCGGCGGAAAGGATCGAGGGACAACGGGGATGAGGGACTACCCAAAAGTACGAGCAACGACCCCGGAACATCGTCTTCGACGAGTGCTGATGGCCATCCAGCACCAGCCGCGGAGCACCGCGTCCGGTGAATCAACTACCAAGGACGACTCGTCGAGCTCGAGGGAACGGGGTATCGGTAGTGGATGCGACGACTCGATCAGCTCAACTCCGGTTTCTTCGAGGAGTGGGCACAACCAAAGGAAAATTGGCTCAATGAGCAGCAGGAAGAATAAGCGAAAGTTTCGCCCTAGTGGACTAGTCGAGATGGAACATCGGAGTTTCTGAGGAGGACAAACGCTATTTTTCATCGAAAAACAGGTGAGTCCATGTCGTCCTTTGACCGAATGGTACTTTAATATACAATCACTGTAATATGACCATTTTTTTACCATTTTAAAATTTTCCACTGAAATTTTATCGTTGATACGTGCGGTCTTATAAAAATTATTTAAATAACCGGCGTTTGATCTATTCCCACATACGGATTGCTGCAATTTTTCGACCATCACCCGTACGTGTTTTGAAAAAAAACCAATCAATAACCATTGAAAATATGTTCAAACAACTTTTTTTTTTTTTTTGAAATGCGGTACGCGAAACCTGTTCTAAAAAATTTTTCATTTAAAATATCTACTACCTCGTGAAAAAAAAAAAAAAAAAACATATTTCCTAGCAAACGAGATTCCACGTAAAAGAAAAAAAATAAATCCACCCTTTCGTACGCATTTCACGCCTATAAGCGCCTACCATGGTTTTAAAAAGGGACGAAGAAAAAGGACGAAAAATCGCGATATTTCATCGGGACTTTGAATCGTGGATTTAACGCACGTACCTACACACACGTGAGCGCGCCCGAAAGGGCTGACTTTGTAAAAGCTCCCCTTTGCAGTTCAAGTCAATCCGTATCGTAAAGCAAAACTTGTTTCCCCCCCCTGGGTTTCTAAACTCACTCCCACACAAATGCGTACACGCACACAGGAAGCTTCGAGCGCGTAAAACTCCGGGGAAACCCCTTCTCGGCGAGAGAATTGAATAAAACTCGGGAGCGAAGTACCGTCAAACGTTATCTTCTCCAATGAATTCCAGCGCCTTGGTCATCACCCACTTCACGCCCTGACTCTGTTTTACGATTTTCCAGGACCATCCGGGAGAATGGGATCAACGATCGCACTGGCAGCCACGAGTGCCCTTTTCACCTGCCACTTCATCGGCTTGTGCGTGGACGACAGAAACGAATTCATAAGCACCGGGTGTGGGGATTGTCCTCATCCTCCCACAGGATCCAAATCGGCTTCCCGGATTAGCACCAAACACGCGACCCCCTTCTCCACCATCACAGCCTGGGGGTGTCATATCGGTTTCAGGAATTTCCGTTGAGCCATTTTCACACGCCGCGTGTCGTCTCGATGCTTATGCGTTGTTATGCTTGCATTGTTCGCACTCTCCCACCACGACAGCATTACACGGAATTTTTGAAAAAAAGGTCCCTCCCGCTTACTTGTCCTCTATGGTTTACGGCAGCGCGAAATACCGGCTTACGAGGATTTTTACTCGCGCAACGGGGGTGGGATTCGAATGAATTGGGAGCTATCGGAGTTGGAATTCGAGCGGGAGTTTGATTATTAGACGAGATTGAGCGTAAAAAAGGTTGTAACTTTCAGCGCAGTACGTTCGATTGATTTGCAGGTATTCCAATAGAGCTTCATTTTGGATATCGGCGTTTTTGCTTTGACGAGCAGGAGGAAAAAAAGGATCCTCTGTTCCCGGGATCCTTTGATCCGGTGTGTGATTTAATTCCAGCGGAAATTTAATTTGGATACTCAATTGTATTTTTCACTCAATTTCTCTGATGACTTTTTCATTGTGAAATTGTCGTTTGCACATCGAAAATGGGATGTATCGGTCTTGTCCGTATATTCATACACGGCTGGAACTTGGAGCTGAAAATCGATTTATACATGTATTAATAACTTTATTTAACCTTCAAACTATTCATCATCATATTAATAATAATCTTATGATTGAAATAAAAAAAAAAAAAAATGATAGTTACATTTGTAAACAAAAAGTTTGTAGAAAGTGCACGAACCAATAAAAATAAAAGTAATGATGATAAATTTATTAGATTTTGGAGTAAGTTTATTGTTTAAAAAAAAAGGCACCGCTATGAAAATTGCACCAGTGCTCGACAAACGGAGCCAATAAGCCTTTGGCTCACGTGGAGCCTTAAAAACTCAATTACGCAAAAAATGAGGTAGAAAAAAAAAAAAAAAAAACATTCGCGTAATGAGGGCACACGCGAGTAATTTATGGCACAGCGCAGCAATTATGAAATGTGGGCGCACACGTAGCGCGTGAATAAACAACGAGCCCGTGAATATTTAAAAAACAAAAGAAGTAAAGAAGCAATGAAAAAAGAAAAAAAAGAAAAATATTACTCGGCTCTCACGCCACCCCTATAAATCTTCCACGAGCGTTAATCCTCCCGAGCGCCGCAAGGAAAATGGCATTAGGGGCATAAGCACCACGAGTCGTTCGACAAGAGAGAGAGAGAGAGAGAGAGAGAGAGAGGAAGGAAAGGAAATAAAAGGAAAAAGCCTTTCCGTTTATCCAGCGCGATCGGTGTCAGTTCGCAAATCGATTTTCAACCCGGAAACTTTGCCTCTTCATTATTTTAAATAAAGGCCGTACATTGCACTCCATACAGTTATCCCTTTTGTTTCTGCACCAATGAATCATACAAGCTACAATGAACGGTAAATTAGCAGCCGTTGACTTGGGAAAGTTTTTCGGGAATCGCATGGGGTTATCAACAAGTCAATATCCTTGCGAAACTACACGTATACACGCACACCACGAGGATCCATTTTTGACCGATAAAAATAGCTAAATCGATCACCGTGACTGCTTCCTTGGCGCGTTGAGATAGAGGGGGGGGGATTACTGACAATGGGCCAGCCCCTCATTATTCCGCACCGACCGCACTAATTAATTGCTCGCGTCATCCAGCCCAACTTGCTCCCAGGGAGAGTGGGAGGGGGTGGGAAAAAATGAAGAAGAAAAAAAATCAGAGTTTCGATACTCTCTCTCTCTCTTTCTGTGCTCCGTCTCTTTGTGTCCTTTGCTTCCCCTTTGTTTGGTGAATTATGGGCTTCTTTGCTCTCCCCTCACCCTCTCCGCTCTTTGCCACAGGCTGTAAGTAAGGCGACTGTTATATAGCGTCCCATGCACCTAGAAAAATAAAAACTCGAGAAATCATTTTTGAAATGTACGAATTTTTGGTTGCGTTGCATCACTTGATGCCTTGGGCGCCCCATTTTCTCGGTATCATGATCGCGTGCCCTTCCTTTGTCGTATAGCCGGTCTACTTCCGCAAATAAGGCAGTAGAGGGGAAAATTGCACGAGCCCGGGGAGAACGAGGAATCTTCCTCTCCTGCGGAGAACGAGGAGGTTGGTTACCACTTTTTTTATTGGCCTCTAAAATTTTACCGCCCCGCATCATTTATTAATGAGACCCTTGGCTCGTGCCTCAGTACGCGCGTGTGCACGTGCGTATCCTTTTCCCTCCATACTTTTACCGATTGACTTTTTACGGCTGCCCTTCTTTTTTTTTTTCTTTCTTCCTTCACGCGTGAAATCACGGGTACGACGTCGCATTTTTATGCCAAATAACGTATCGCCCTGCGTTGTCGTAAAAAAAAAGAGAGATTTTCGAGAAAAATAGTCGTTAGTTAGGGAGAGCCTTGTGGTACGTGTTTATTCTTCTTATCCTCCCCTGTACGGGATGAGACGGACAGGGGCTTTGAATAATTGAAGACAGTATCGAGCTGCTTGTGTTTATTTACGACTCTATCTTTTCTTTGTGGGATGTGAAATTTTGACGAAAGCCCGGGTTTGTGAATCCCAGAGCTTGTTCTCAATATTTCAACAGTCATGGCGTGCCTGAGCTGATTTTTGAGGGTTGTTTAAGAAAAAAAAAAAAAAAAAAAAAAAAAGAAAGAAATTGAAGGTAGAGAAAGCTCTAGGAGTGTTATGCGAAGCCAAATTTTGTTTTTACTTTTATTCACCATCCCACCACTTTTATTTAAAATAAAATATCCTACCTCTTTACGTCCTTTTATTTTCTTTTTACTTTCGTTGAGCAGCATGCAAGAAGCAGAGCTACATGTATGTCAGAAAAACCAGAAGATTAAAAGATCAAGATCTTCGCCATGCGAGTCTCGGTTACTACATTATTTTATTTTACTGTATATCAAGCTATGTTTTCCTTTTTCGCGTGCCCATATTTCTCGAAGCTGACGCTACAAGTACGTGCCGTCACGGAGCACCGCTGTATTACCGAATTCCTTTCTCTTTTATCGGGCTTTTTTTTTCTCTACCACCGTCACTGCCGTATTGTGTCTTCCCTCGACTCGATGTATGGGAGTACAATTGTGTCGGCACAAACTGTAAAGGATAAACCGAGAGGGATTTTACCAATACGAGCTCTTTATTCGATACACCTCGAATGATTTTTAGATTTGATGTAAGGATATAATTTTATTTTGTAAATTCATTGTAAACATTTTCACATCGTAATCGTTGTATTGAGACATCACTCAGCGATGTATCTATTATTTTTAGTCACAAATACAGTTATCTTTATTAAAAAAATTTCAACATTAATCAATGTATACGTACATTTAACGAGATGACGGACAATAACTGTACTTGCGTTAAATTTCTTTGTAAATGCCACGAAGTTTGAAATAATTCATTCGGTACATGAATATAGAACATAAGCCTAAGATCTCGAGACGTGAAAATTTTCATTAAAAATATGGTTAAAAGTTCTTTCGCGTAGTAATTTATAACACTTGGCGAGTCTTCAACTTAAACTCGATCCCAAAGCTAAATATTTTACTTTGAAACTGCCCAAGTTTTTAATCCATCGACTTTGTCCAAGTACTACGAGAGGCGAAGCGTTTTTTTTCGTAATTTCTTTTCCAGGTAATTTCGTACAAAAATGATCCACAGTGATCCATTCAAATGCCTCTGTTAATCTATAACCACAAGTAAATAAAAAAAAGCATAACAACAACCATAGCCGATGGTCCCAATAGGCCGAGAGATAAGTAATCCCGTTTCGATATACCTACGCACGACATCCGCGAGCCGAGGAAATACGCGATCGCGCGACGAGAGCCGGGGTGGAGGAACTGAAATTGAAGATTGAAGAGTTGCGGCGAAAGAGAGCGCAGGTGCACAGTCATTCGAGCGCGAGCACGTCAAAGCCCCCGACTGATGCCAATGTGAGGGTTTTTCACGGGATTCTTAAGCACCCCCCACAGAGTCAATACACGAACCCTTGCGCGGAGGGCCAAGGGAAAAGAGGGCTAAAGCCGAGATGGAGCTACCCTCCTCCTCCCCCCCTTCTCTCTCTCTCGACGTCTGCCAAGAAAAATATTAAGATGATCCCAGTCACTCGTCGCGGTTTCTCCTGTCGATCTGCAATTCTTGCAGTCCCTCGTGATCCACATAAGGGGGAGCGCATGCGAGGATTTCAAAAATAATAACTAAGGGCCAGAGGTAGAGTGGATCGAAGAGAGGTCGCAATTATCGTAAAACACGAGCTAACAATCAAATGCGTTGGTGTATGAAGCGCGGACGAAGCACCGGAGGAGCTTTGGGGCTAAAAGCACACGTCACGCGTGATGGATTTAATAGGTAGTAAAAAAATCGCCATGAAATGGCCACTCGAAAGGGGAAAAAAGAGAGCCGCGAAAAGAGATATTTGCGCGTTTTTAATCCTCTTTTGTCCACCTCGTGGGTCTTTTTCTCCCTGCGATCGAGTCATCGTTTGCCGAGGCACAAAAGTCCCTCTCCCGGAAATTTTATCATTCCGAGGCTATAAATTACGCGCCTTTTTCAACCGTCACTTTTAACACTGCTTTGGTATTTGGGTCCCCTTCCCCCCTTCTACGCTTTTCGCATGCCAACTAGTGTGGTATCGATGCTCCTCTTCGAGTTAGTGACACGTTTTATTTAGCAGGCTTTTTTCCGTGGCTCTCACGGCTTCGTGCCCCCATGAGATTCGAGGGTGCCATTAGTAACTGCCTCTACATTTTATTGGGGAGCATAAGCTCTCACAACGAGCGATATTCATTTTTAATAAATAGGATGAACCCAGGAAACCCCTTATTTTATTGTCCAACTGATCACGGGTCCACACGGGAAAACCGTAAACATAAA